TTTTATATAATAGATAAGTTATTAGTGAGAATTTTAATACAAAAAGAATATTTTTATAAGTTATCTTTAAAAAAAAAAATAATTTTAAATAGAAAAGACTATTTAATATTGGTAATATTTTGAAAGAATTTTAAATTTATCTATTTAACAATTTCTTGAATAATTATAATATTTTTAATAAAAATATAAATTTTAAAAAGAATTAGAAGATTGTTTTATAAGAAGTAATTTGTAATATTGAATTTCAAAATATTGAGCTTAATAATGGATTTTAAGGTTTCTTGTTTAGCAAATAAATCTGCTTAGTTATAAATAAGTCTGTAAAATATGATTTAATTTTATAAAAGATAATAATAATGTTTTTGATATATTTAAGATAATTAATATACTAAATAATATCTCAATTTTTAGTTTATATAGGTTTGGAAATAATAGATTGTTCAAGATTTTTAATAACAGTTGTATTATTGATATAGATATTTAAAGAAATATTAGATAAAACTACAAATAGAAAATAAAAAACTGATTTGAATTCAGTATAGATTGAATAGGATAAGATTGTATAGTTGTATTAAATTTATTGATATATTGTATTTGCAAATCTATTCTATACTAGATTTTATATCTGAAATTTAAAAATTTTTAATTAATTTATTAGTATAAAAAATCTAGTTTATTTGTAATAAATTAGAAAATAAGATAGTTAAGATTAGTTAATTGTTTTTGGTATATTAATAAATGAAATAATTGTTGGATAAGTTGAGTATTATAAGATAATAAAATTATTTGTAGTTGTAATAAAAAAAGTAGTTAAGAAGAAATGAAATTATATATATTGATTAAAGTTAGAAATTTTCTAAAATCAATTTAAATAATTATTTGATCATTTGATTTGTTAGTTAGATTATAAGATAAATAGAAAGAATGATAGTTTGATGTAAGAAAATCAGAAATTAAAAAAAGTTGTAAGAGATCTAAAGTAGATGAAAAGATTTTTAAAAAAAAAATTATTAGAAAATGGTTTGATAAGAGATATAAAATAGTTGATTATTTGTATAATAAAGTTGATAAGAAAAAAAAAGTTTGAGAATAAATGTGATAATATTAATTTAATTGTATTAAAAAAGAGATTTGTAAAAGGTAGATTTAGAGTAGATCAAGTTAGATTAATGGGATTAGATTGATTTAGTTTTAGAATTTGAATAAATCATTATAGTTGATGACCTTTAGTTGGTTTATTTGTATGTAAATATATATTATTTTATAAGAGAATATTTTTGTTATTTACAGTTGTAATTTGTTTTAAGAAAATAATTTTGTTATTTTTAAGACTATTAATAGTAGTAATAGATAAGTTATAAGAAGAAGAATATTATAAATAATATGAGAATTTTTTGGTATTAATGAAAAGTAAAGAGAGATTTGTGAATTAATTAAAGAGAAGATATAATTTAGAATAAGTTGAGAAAGATAAAAAAATAAAGTATAGTTTTGTGTTTTATAATAATAATTAATTAAGATATTAGTTAAGAGTTGAGAAGATTATATTTTTGTCTTTTGATTTTAAATTCAGATAATTTAGTAAAATTGTAACCTGTTTTTAATATATTAAATCTAATTTGATATTCTTTTTTTTTAATTTAAATTTAATAATCTGATTAATAGTATTCACTTAAATATTGCTTAAATAATTTAAATTTAACATTTATATAAAATAAACTTTATAAATAAAGTTTTAATTTATTGAATTTAAGGTTATCAAAGTTTAACTTTATTTCTTTTTTCAATTAGTTGTTTTTAAAAAATTAAAAAATAAAGACTATAATCAAATGCTAACCCTTATTAAAAATTTATATGCAAGTATAAATTTGCACTAATTATGAAAAAGAGGATATAATATATAAAAATAAAGTTACAAAAGGTTCTTGACAAATATGATATATACGAATAAATATTTGAAAGAAAAAGATAACACTATTTCTATATCGAACTTGTGAGTCACTTGATTGAGAGAATTATACGGATAAGTTCTATCTGGAATCTAGGATAACAAAATTTAATTAAAAGAATGTTTTACATAACCAAAGATGAAATAGTAAGAGAAGTAATAAACATAAAAATAATCTAAATAATTGACTTTACCAGATTTAGAAACACCTTTGACAATATGTGAAGATTCTACCTGCTATATAGAGAAGTAAACATATATGTAGGAGATGTGTAAAACCATGATGATAGCATTTAACAGTACTGGATTGATAATATAATATTATGCACCAAAGGTATAGAAGAAAACTGGAAATAATCTTGTATTATGAACCTCATTGGAAATAACATGCAAACCCTATTAAAAATAAAATGCAACAAAATAAAACCCATACCTCACCAACACATGAAAATTTTTGCTAATGGATAGCTGAAATGTTACAAAGACAAAAATACTCATATCTCATGATTCACTGAGCTACTTTAACGTTTCAACTCCATTATGCTCGGGATTATTTTCTCTTAAACCTTCGTTAGAAGTTTAAAAAAAGGTTTCTTAGTAAAAAATCAATTTATCTTTTAGGAAAACGGTTTATTATGTTTTCCTCATAGGTCACAAATTAAACAGTATGCACCCAAAACCTTTTTTAAAATTTGAAAATTTGCGGCTTGTTAATTAGTTTTTACTTAATTGTGCAGGCAATACAGATTATCAAAAAGGAAATAGTCGGTTAGTAAGTTCAAATGCCAGGAAAAATCATGAAGTGGCATGTAAAATCGTGATTTTGATTGTGTGATGATCAAAAAACGTAGGTCTGCCTTGAGAACACCATCCGGCATTTTCCGATCAGGATAATTAAACCCAAATATTGATTTATATTTATATGTAAAAATCATTTATGCCTTTATGATTTAATAGTTTATTCAATGGACAATTGAATTAATAAGATAAGGATGGTTTACGTATAAACTTGAACCGGTATTGGGGTTTGTTTTGTCCAATTATCCCGATTAGAAAATGTTAGATGGTGATTTTCAAGGCAAAGATTCCAATTTATCATTAATGTGAGCAAAGTTGATCGCTTTGTTGTGTTTTGATTATAATAAATGATTCCTAAAAATAACACATAGGCTCAGATTTGAGTCCAATTGGCGATACGTAAAATCGTATAATTTGCGAGGGGGAATGGCAATAACTTGAAAACTGCTAATCATTTTATCATCATCAGAACCTAAATAACTTGTTCTATAATATTTTTGTAAATCAAAAAAAAAAACGTTTCATTGTAAACCAACAGCATCCTAATTCTATTAAAAAACTATTAACTTTCAACAATTTTATTTTTTTAACTGAGAATTGCTTTGATATTAATTGAATAGACTATAATTTAAATATGTAAAGTACTATCATAATTAATTTAGCGAAATAAACAAATATTATATAACAAATTGAGATAGTTAAAACCATATATTGTTAAAATTTTAACGTTCGCAAGTTTCTCATCATGACTATATGATTTGCATATCGTAAATGTGTACAAGGTTGGTGTCGCAGAGCTCCTGAACTACGAATCAGATTTTAAGATTAGGTGTAACGTAACACGCTCAGGACGTTTATATCTCAAAAATCAGCATAAGAAACCACATTTCGTGCTATAACAAAAAGCTTCGTTGAAAAATTTTACTATGTGAACTATCCCTCTATAGATCCTACCTTTGATCCTAACCTAACCTCACCGAATTTCAATAACTCGCCAACTTTGCAGAAATTCCAATATTAAATGAATGGTATTAGTAATTTTTTTCAAATTTTACAATGCAATTTATACTCTTCAGCTAGTATTTATTAAATTAACTACCATATTTTCGCATAATAACGCCCAGAAGTGTAAATTTCGAATTTTGGCCTAAATTAAGCATAATTTTAAATAACGCTCATTGTCATTCTTATGAGAAAATACTGTAGGGTATTAAAAATGGTTACTATATATTTGTATTATTATATATTTGTATTATTTTATATAATATTAAATTACAAATAATGAAAAGATATAAATATTTTCAGGTTATAGCAATATTTAACTCTGAAATTTTTGATTTTATTAAAATTTACGCTTTCAATAAGACTTTAACTTCTGACAACACTTTTAATAAGCTTTTGATATTAGTAAATATCAAAAAGATCCACTTTTGAACCAAATTTTAGTTTTTATCTGAACAAATAAGTTCAATATAATTATAGCTTAAATTGAGTAGCAAATAAGGTTGAAGACAATAATTATATTATTAATAACCAAAAGGACTTAAAATCTTTATGGATTTGAATTTCCTTAAAGCATAGAATAATTTGGTTGTTTTAATAGTTTGTCTTTAGAGTTATATAATTGACCGGTAATGGCTCAAAATTGTAGATAATTAATCAAATAATCATAATTCTAATGATTTTCGAAATTTTGTGAATTTCAAATTTTCAAGGATTCGTATTACGTGAAACTGCTGTATTTTAAGTTCCCCTTTTACAACGTATGTACGTCGGTACGTATATATCAGGTATGTGCTTATTAATTTCATGCAGGCAGCAACTTAATGCACAACATTATTGCATATTGTTGAAGGGGCAAAAATTGACAATAACGAATAAAGATACTATAATGAATGGTTTCACTCTTAGTACGTACGTACAGTACGTATGTGCGGTACCGTATGTGCGGTACCTTTATTTAAATAAGTACTTAAGTTAACCTAGCCATAAAAAGTGCTTATTAACGTCACTCAATGATATTTCTAAAAGTGGATGCGAATTTACACCTGTATCATTTTTGATATTAAATCGGAAGTTAATGTTTTTTTATAAATAGATTAGTTTTTATTTACGATTAACTCAGCCCTACAAAAAATACTGGACCATTTTTTAGCTCAGGTCAACAATCAGAATGCACTTGGTTAATAAAATTAATAATTGTTGCGGCTGCATTCCCCTGAGAGGGGGAGTTATTTTCATAACAACCTTTTCTATGGTAAGTTAATTTATGAAATTGAACATTTTTTTTTGGGCTTATGTATTAGAATTTAGTGACTTTATAAACTTGAACATTTAGGTTGGACTAGTATATATCGCTCTTTGTGATGTATTGTCAATTACAGAAAACGATTGTAAGCGTTATATTTTGTTTAATTTCATATTTTCTTTCGCTGGATTATAACATGATTTATTTTTTATTTCTATAGTTAATGCTGGAATAATTATAGATTTAGTTGTTAGTGTTTTATTCCTTCCTGTAACTATCTTTGGGCTTTTCGCTTGCTGTTGCGAGGTATGTACTATACAGTACGATGAGTACACAATGTGATACGATATACTGTAATGATATACTGTAATTAAATTATTAACATTTTATTTTTTTGTTTATTTTTTTTTTACATAAGAAAACATCACATCTTTTAAGAATTTATTCTATCCTTTATAATGTCTTTACGATTATTGAGATCCTAGATTCATTGGTTGCAATCTTTATCATCATCACTTATAGAAGCCCTGTTGGTTTTAGTAAAGATGATTTACAATTGTTATTTGTCAATGTCTTGATCATTTTTATTATGGTAGGTTTTATTTAATTTGTATTTTTATTAACTTTAAGTAATATTAAATCATTAATTATTTTGTTTCCTGCACTACAGATTTATTTTGCTTTAGTTATTTCTGCTTATGCTACAAACCATAAGGTTAAAGAAGAAATTGCTCATTCAACTAATAATGCTTCGGGAAGCAATGGTCCTTCAGCGCACAAAGTTTCCGAAGGAAATGTCACTCCAGCGCATGAAACACCATTACGTACTGTCAGTGTTGCTGAGAAATGCTGATTTATATGTTCAATGTACCTTATGTTTTATTTGCTAATAATTCGATTCATGAATTTTATTTGTAAAAAATTAGTTTAAATAAATAAACATTTTTCATCTTGCGTTCTATCTGATAACTAATTTCTAAAACTCTCATTGTATCGGACCTGTTGTTATTGTTGCTGCTATATTCAGAAGAGCAACAGATGAAAATGCTAAAACAATTAAAAAAAAGCAGACATAAGAATTTGCAAATAATAAAAAAAAAGATTAATAATAGAAAAGAATACAGTAGAGACAGTGCCCGATCCAAAATGAATCCCTCTCGCCTGTGATCAATTACAAATTAAATTATTTTATGTTGGATTCAATTGTGATGGATATAATCCCTCACCAGTTTTAAAGTATGTGTAACATTAACAGTCTCTGCTGTAAGAAAAGAATTCGGTAATTGAAATGTTGAATCGATGGATCAAGTTCAAACTAGTTTGTTTAGTAATTCATGATGATGTCATTTTGATGCAGTATTATATAATGCTATTTGAATTGCTATAGTAGTTTAAATGTTTGTAGTTAAAATATTAATTATGTGATTGATTTGTAATCTATATTGATATTTCTTAACACCTCTAACGCTAATGCGCAATAAATAATATATGTATATTAATACCGTAATAAGGAAACTGTCAATTATATTGTTACTTATATTTTTTTGAAGTTGTTACTTTTGAAATTATTGCTAAATATAATGTTTTTTGCTTTTGTTTTCAAAAAATGATTACAGTATTTGAAATCTTTGTAAGCTATATTTTGATATTAATAACTACATTAAGGTTAGAATTAAGCGATTCATTTAGTAAAATTACTTGTTATGTAGAGCACAAAGAGTGTTTCTTAACAAATTTGCCCGATTTGATGTTGATCATCATGTGCCTCAATGTTTTCTTTTTCTTGGCAGCAACTACGTAATTATTGTACAATTTTGTCTATCTCTGTATCCAAATTATTTGACGTCCCAAACCATGTGATAATTAGTTTCCCTGCTTTTTTCTTATTATTGAGACAATTAACACATATTTCGGAATGTCCCAAAACTAATCTCAATTTTAAAATTTAAAATTTAGGTTATAATTTTATTCGTGTAACACGGTGACCAATGTCAATGTACAGTACGTACCAGTACGCCAACGCCAAACTAGTTTATCAGGGATTTTGTGTTACTATATAGCCAATTCTGCAATCCTGTATCGATAACGATAACACAAAAACAAAGTGTCCGAATACGGTATACGTAGAAATTTTAAAGACATTGTTGTACAGATAATTTAATGTCAAGTAATCTAATTATAGAACATTAAAAAAAAAAACACGTTATTTCATTGATAATTCATCTGATTATTCATCTGATATTATTCAAATAAATCATAAATTTAACCAATTAAATTTACAAGATAAAAAAGTCGTCGAATTTTTTTAATAAAATTGTTAAAGAATTATATAATAAGAATTATATAATTTATATATTGAAGAAAGATCAAAAGCAAAAAATTCGGAACAAACTATTAATATATTAGATCAATTTTTAATAATAATAATAATAATAAAATTATAACTCTGATAATATTATCAATTGGTGCTTGGAAAATCAATTTATTCCTATGGCTCAAATAATTCTTACAATTGTAATCGTTTTGGTAGATGAAAATAAAGCTTTTATTCATTATCGAAAATCCGCTGATTTGGATCTTGCTAAAGTAACTTTTTGTCTCGGTGTTTGTTATGAAAAAGATATTGGTGTTAATAAAGATGAAAATTGGCTTTCATTTATTATCAAAGAGCTGCTGATAAATAATGCCGGTTGTTGTTACCATTTTGTAATTGGTGTTAATGAAAATGAATATCAAGCCTTCATTCGTTATCAAAAATGTGCTGATATGGGTAATGTTGGTGGTTTAAATAATGTTGGTTATTGTTATCTTTATGAAATCGTTGTTGAAAAGGATGAATATAAAGCTTTCATTTACTACAAAAAATCCGCTGAATTAATGCTTGACATAATATGTAATATGATAAATTGTCCTTATATTTGATCCGATAATTCGATTTAATTAGTTATTCCAATACAGCTGTCATTTAAATGCCAAATTTTATTTTGTTGTCTTTTTAATTTAGAACCATCACTACGATATATAGATGCTATTTACACATATGCGATAGTAAAAGTTAGGAGTTGGATAATTGTGCAATTTTCATCATTTATAATTGAGAGGATTATTTAAATCAAACATCTGTCAAAACACCGTGATAATGAAAAAATAAAAATCACCATTCTTTAGATATAACAATACTTAGAAAATATTTTAATATAATTTATTTTAGAGTAAATCGATTAAAGTTTGGAAATAAACAAACAACTTTACAAAATTTTGACTAACTTATGATGTGAGCTATGTTTATGAAATTAATAAAATAATAATAGCAATAGTAGAAACGGACATTTATTATCAAACTATAATATAAAATTAGTGATAAAAATTTTTTTATATTTCTCGTTTGTTATTTATTTAATTCTGGCGAAGTTCTAATAATTTTATTGAACATCTCTATCCTTCTACAACCATATTCATTTGCTTAATATTTCAATTTCCAGACATTAAAATATTAATGTTCATGAATATTTACTATACAATTTCACTTTATTTATATTAATTTAGATGTACATAAAAATTTTTTACATCAAGAACATCAGCAAGTTGTTTTTTTATAAACTTTATGTAGTTCTATAAAGTCATATAAATGTCGCATCTGAAGTAGCGATTTATTTGAAGTAGCGCCTGGCTAAAATTAAGCCCCTGAAATTAGATCTTCATGCATGCATGCATTAGATTTTAATTTTAGCCAGGGCGCTACTTTAAATATATAAAGTGGTTACTTTAGATAATCTCTACTTCATATGCGACATAAATATTATTTGTCACTCGATCACTACAACTAAATACAACAAAATACACACTATGGGGTTTTGCCCCGCTGCTCACGTGGTCACCAGCTAATTCTATAGTATCGTACCCTCTTTTCTTTTCCTTTTAAATTGTTAATTCCATGCATTTCGTTTATTCTACTTTCTCTCATAATCCATTTTCCTTATTTTGATATCCGGGTTGCTCACCCAGGCTATCCTATTTACCTATTACCTTTACAATCTCTTTTTTCCTGAATTCCATGGTTAATGGTTGAGTTCTATCAACAAAATTAGACTTGCATCAAGCTAACAGTAAAGACAAAAGAGAAAAAACTATTTTTCATTTATATTTTATTTATATAATCATTTTTAATGATCTTATACTTACCACACTCTATTCTATTAAACTAAGTACTCAACTCTTTTATTTATAATGACCTTATCACTCAATAATTATTCAATTATATTCTCTTATTAACAATTACTTACCTAGTAATAATGTCATAAATGACTAATATGATCTTGTAACAAATGACTGCTTTGTGATTTTGTTCACAGCATTTCATTTGTCACTTAGTCATTACAACTAAATACTATGAAATACACACTTTAGGATCATCAAAAGAATTAATTTGTATTCTCTTTCTTCCTTGTAATATTGCAAATATCAAATAATCTTATGAATTTATTAAGTTATCCTTTACTCAAAACTTCATTTTTACAAACACTTTATCCTTAGTTATCTACTGTTTTCAAGTAAAACATCATCATTTTTGAATCTTATCTTTATATGGTTCTTATCTAGGTTAATAATATATTCTCTTTTATTATTGCTATTGTCTCTTCTATCCTTAAACTGTGAGATATAAATCAACTCTCAATTTTTATATTTTCTATTATCCTCTTTATTACTACTAAAATTATCATTACTGACATTTTTTTATTCTTTTTTGATAAGAACAAAGACTCATCACTCATTATACTTAGTCTTACTCTCAAATACTTATCCAATAATCTTATAAAATAAATTTTACTTTTTGTGCTCTCAATTAACACAAATCTCTCATTTGTAAATAAGTCATTTTTGGTCTTCTTAATCTTCATCCAAACTAATCCTGATCTCTTTTTTATATTTATTATTTTCAATTTTCATAATGCTTCTAGTCTACATATTATACAAAACCCTATTGCTACTAATACTAAATCTCTATACCATAAAATCACATTTGTTCTCTTAGATAAACTCTTATAATACTATCTTAATGCTTCTAAAGAAAAAGAATCTTGTGGATATTTCACCTTATAGTTTTAAGTTTTAATAATTTAATCTCTCTTATTATTTCTTTTATTCTAAAATTTTTTTTAAATTTTTCAAACCCTTTCTCTTATGTATTCTTATTATTGTATCCAAAAATTCTTGCACTTATGCTATTATACCTATTATTTTTAATCAATCCAAGAATGTCTTTACTGTATTTATATTTGCTAGACATGCTGTTTCTCCTATCCAATTACAAAACTTTTCAAATTCCTTCCATGCCTTCTCTAATCTTATTTTATAACTCTTATTAATTAATTTATAAACTAAATTATTAGTCCTTCTTAATAATATTTTTCTTATCTTATTTTAGTTGCTAATATTCTTTATACTAGATTCTTATATGGTTCCTTTTATTTTAATGATTCTAAAATAATAATATTCATAGTTGAAAACAATTCTACTACCTCTTTTGATGCTTTTAAAAACATTAGTCACCATATTACTGCTATTCAAGCTATTGGAATTAATATTACTTGTGTTCTGCATTCCTGACTATATGTTAATACATTATGAATCAATTTGAATAGAAGTCATGCATAATTCATTTTTTTTTTTCAACTTTGAGTAAACAATTGACTATTTCAGTCTTGGGACAAAATTTAAGTTATTAAAATGCTTCTTTTTCATATTCAAATGACTCACAAATTAATCTATTGTTGATAGTTCTTATTTGACTTTCAAATCTACAAATACCTAATTGTTTAACTGCCAATTCTCTATATTTTACTCTTTTGTAAA